CTCAATTCGACCTCACTGTATTGGCTCCCATAAGTTCCTTGTCTATCCCTCCTATTTATAGGAACTCTCCATTTCAAACGTATTTCCAAGAATATGTCTCAGAGATGTCACTGCTCCACCAAATCTCAGGCTCTTGTTCCTTCAGGGCACATTTAACCTACCTCTATCCCCAGTAGCTCAACCTCTACATGGAAATCTAGTACCTTCTTATCCATACCATCTCCAGCTTCACTTCCTTTTCACCCTCCCTTCACATATGCAAACTCTGTTGTGCTACATTGTGTAACTTTAAGGTAGGCTTGATCAATAGGAGAATTATGTCAGTAGTATAATGTTGATGTATTAGATCATATATGATTATTGCCAACCTATCAATAGTGTGTTCCCCCAAGAAAGAGCAGCTGACCACATAGTTACGAGCAAGCCACAAAAGAATACATTATTATATATGATGCCCATTTACCCTAGTCCTTTGTCTTGGCTCAGTTTGGCCACATGCAAAACAAGCCCAAGACTCTGAGTCAGAACATCCCTCAGAGGCATCTCTATAGTTCATGCAAAGCTGGCAGCTGCCTCTTCACCTAAAGTTTCTGAATAAGGGGCAAGATAAAGAGCTGTAGATCTTTCCCTGTGAACCAGAGCACCCAGCAGGGAGAATCCTGGTCCCATTCCAGACCTACTAAATCAGAGTCTGTTTTTTAATAAGACCTGCTCTGGGAGGAATGGTAGAGGAGATAATAGCATTGATAAATTATCTGATATATTTGACTATGGAAACTACTTAGAGGCTACTAGAGGGGTGGGAAAAATTGTGATGGAATAAAGAAAATTAAAGAAAAAAAAATTCTATTTAACTCCCTTCTTACCCTAAAGAAAACACAAGAAGTTGTACATGAAAATAAATGTAATCATATATGATACTTGGCTCTGTAAAATTATAGTTACATAACCACAGTATTAGAAATATTGAACAAAATTGTGATATATTACTATTCGTGGTATAAGAGAGCTAAACCATCATTGATCATAATAGGGCATAGAAAAGTAACATGTAAAAATGGATATATAAAGAAATAACAGCACAAATGTGTTATTGTCTTGAGAAATATGTAAATAAGTATCAGATAAAATAACTAAGCATTTGGCTGGGTGTGGTGGTTTTGTCTATAGTCTCAGCTACTGGGGATGCTGAGGCGGAAGGATGGTTTGAGCCCAGGAATTTGAGATTTGAAACCAGCCTGGGCAACATAGTGGGACCTTGTTGCTAAAACAACAACTAAAACTAAAGAAAAACTAAGTATTTAAAGAATTAAAGAGGCTGTTTCTGGAGAATGAAGAGGGATAGGTTGGACATGAGGCTGACACTTTTCTTAGAAGCTCTTTGTCCTATTTGGTTTTTATATATTACTTTTACAGAATAAAAACTACATTTAAAAAGAAAAGGAGCAGGTGGATGCCTCAGCAAAATCCTGATGAGCAGCCCCACTTCACAAGGCATCTCCCAAGCAGGAGCCATGAGAGACAGGGGCATCTAGAAACTCTGTCCTCTGAGCCTTGAAAAATTCAGAGATCCTGCCTTTCATTTTCTAAGACTGATGATTTGGTTTCTGTCAAAATGACTCAGATGTTATGCAATCAGAATTGTGGCTGCTGTGCAATAGCTTGATTTCTAAATACCATTTGTTCTTCTTTCCCCCAATCTCATTCTTTTTAGTTTGGATCCCTTGGGAGCAAATAAAAGTTCTTTCTTCCCCTGTCCCCTGCCCCCCAAAAAAATCTTCTATGAGACTATAAAGCATGGACAGAAGTCTAATTGGGGAGAGCTACTAAGAGAAAAGAGATGAGGAAAGAGAAATAGATTATAGGTGATATTTTCAGAAAGTTAAACATGAAGGGGAACTGAGAATCCAGCAGGAGCTCTTCACACTAGGAAGGTCAAGGACTGGATGGTTTGATTTAAGCTGCAAATTCTATTGAGAAGACAGGGAATACAAACTAGAAGAGCTCAGTTCAGAACAGGAAGATAAACTTGGAAACAAAAGATAACAATAAACACATCTGCTTCTGAAAGTAAGGCTTAGGTCAAGTGTCCACCAGGAGAAAGGGACCAGGAGGTTGTGTTACAGGATAAACTTGGGCCCATCTTCCAGGAGAGTTGATTTCACTTGGAGGGGGCAAAGGCTATTCAAAGTCATAAAGCAAACCCCATATACATAATGAAGTAAAATGCTTTAATTTACCTTAAATGTTTATTTTTTTTAATTTTTTTTTAATTTTTTATTTTTTTTGGAGACAATAAAGCCAGAATTAAATGTTTAGATAGGACTCAAGACTTCAAAGGTGTTTCTCATAAGAGTTGGGCAATGCTGGGAGGCTCCTTCCTAAAGTTCCTCTGGTTAGGGTGCTTGGGTGGGATCACAGTGAGGTGTGATAAATGAATGAAGAAGTCCTAGAAGTGAGGTTGCATCTATTTGCTTCTTCTGGAAGAGGTTGTAGAAGATGCAGCCCTTATACAAGCTTTTGAGGGAAGAACAGGTGTTTATCATGCAAATAAGAAGGAACAGAATGTTCTGAAAGAGGAAAGGTAAGTACTATTATCTGAAGGCCTGAAAGGCACTATAGATTGAAGTAAACACACCCATTCCAAATTCTGCCAGTGAGTAGGTAGGCCAACTGAGGAGGAGGATTGAGAAAAGGCCAAGAAAAAGGAAATGGGGAGACTGCTAGAGCTTTTTTTTGACCAGATAAAGCTAGATCTATAGCATTTTTTAAACCAGATTAAGGTGTCTAAACTTGGTGCTAAGATCACTAGAGAGACAAGGGGGTATTTTAAAGCAAAAAGTGATATGATCAGATTTGCATTTAGGAAAGATCGTTCTCCTGGCAGTCTAGTGAGTCAACTGCCTTTTGTCTTAATCATAACTCCAACTAAAAGGTGTAGCACAACATTGGGAAGGACTTTTGTCACAAATATAATACAGGATTGACATCTTTAATTTATAAAATGTTCATACAGATTGGTAAGAAACAGCACTAGAACCAGCCTTGAAAACAGTGGGCACTGCCCTGAAAAGCTCATTTCTAGAATATATTAAATGACTGGCTAATACATGAGAAATGATCACCCTCACTATCATATAAAAGCATCATAAAATACTAATTTGATAAATTTCACCCATCCCAATAGCAAGGATATGAAATAATAATCCTCAGTGCTAGCAAAGATTAGATGAGGACACTTCCATTGATGGTTTGATGGGTTCAACATTTCAGGAAGGGACCTTGGCAATGTGCTCATACCCTTTGACCTGAGAACTCTACTTCTGGAAATTTATCAGATAGCTTATAGGGAAGTTTTCAAAGTTGTGAACAAAGACTTTTCTATGAAGTGCATTATACATAATAGGAAAAAAAAAAACCACAATGTCCCATGATCTTGGCAATTATGCAACTATTAACAATGTTTTGAGTTATACAAAAAGCCCAACTGATTATTTTTATGATGTATTATACATAAGCATAAAACAAACACTGGAAGGAAATATGTCAAAATATAAATTGAGGCTATTATTAGTTGGTAGACTAAGGGTGAGTTTCATGTTATAGAAATATTTTCTTGTATTTTTAAAATTTTCTATAACAATAAGAAGTTTAGCTCAAAATAAGAAATTGCTAAATAAGATTTGCAAATAAATTGCAAAATAAGAATTGTGTTGCTTTGAGATAACTTTGGCAGGGAGGCAACTTTGGGACCCTATAAACTGAATCACGTTTCCTGAGATGGCACATTCACAGCCTACCTTTAAGATTGGCCTTTTGTGAAGTTGTGCCAACACACACAGCAGCTGCAGTGGGCACTGTGGTAAAAAGGAGTGCTGCCAGTGGTAAGCCAGAGGCTACCATCTTGGCCTCTGCCCTTTCATTTTTTTAATCCATAGAAGCAATAAAAGAATAATAATTTACCTTCTACTGAGCCCCTACCATATACTAAGCACTTTATCTGCTTAATCTCATTTAATCCTCCCAACATCTCTTCAGAGAAGGTATGATGAACTTAATTACCTTTTTAGTGATAAAAGAAATGAAGTTTGGACAGGTAAAATAACTGCCTGAAGCCTTCACATCTCATTTTAGTGTTTCCTTGGCCCTTTTCCTTTTTTTCTCTGTCCCCTTTCATTTAGTCTAGCTCATCAATACTTAACCTGGTCTTTGAGCTGAAGACCACAAATCCAGTTTTCCATCTGTCTGGAAAAGTTTTCTTTCTTTTTTTCTTTTTTTCAAAGTTAGATACACTAGGCCACGTGGAGGCAGGCTTTCCTAAGAGCACTTCCGCCTTCCTTCTGGCTTTTAACTTTTGCCCCTGGGGCCACAACCATCTTTCTCACTTGGTGGCAGTGCACCCCTGAGCCTTTTCCTCCAAGATCAACCAGGTCAGTACGTGTGATTACTCTCAGCCCCCTGAGAGAGTGGGCAGCCAGGAGGGCATAGTTCTCTCCCTCCCACTTCCTCCCCCCTGGTGCTAGGCCCTTTACTCTCTTCAGCTCCCCCTTCTTGCTCTATCTCCTCCCATCTTTTTCTTTTTTCTCCTTCAATTCATTTTCTTGGTCTCCATTTCAGCCTTCATTCTCTTTATTATCGTTGCTAAAATCAAATGCCAAATTACTGTATTTGAAGAAGACTTTTTTTATTTAGTGCAGTGATTCCAGGATTTGTTCACTGATATGCAACCCACTAATGGACACTATGCCTCACAACTCTCTTCTCCTAAGTCTGGGTTTTAGGGCCCAGTTTATTATTTTATAAATGCTTCACCACACTTAGGGCAGTGAGTGAGTGCTGATGAAGCATGGATTGAAGCCCCACTGAAGAGGAGGTACAGAGGGGCCTTCAGATGCAAATGACCAGAGTGCTCCAGATTGGAAAGAATTGTAGAGTGAACTTTGGAAGGCAGAGTGTCCACAGAGCTGGCAGTTACCTCCTGTCTATTCAATATCTCCTAGGCTGAAGCTCCTGAGGGACCCACATCAGTCTCTTGCTACCTCAGAAAGGCCAGGGATGGCAGTTTTCCCAAACTCCTGCCTCCCCAGATGTCTGTTCATCCTCACCCTCCTGCAGCTGCCCAAGCTGAGTGCAGGTAGGTCTCTCTCTTCTCTCTCTCTCTGGCCTACAGGATTGAAAGTAAACATCCCATTTGGCTCTCCCCAGAGATCTCCACTGGGGTCCAGACAGACCCTCTCAGGCTGTCCAAAGAATAAGAGACAGAGAGGGGAGACTCTGGGCTTTGGTGGGAATCTTGTCCGTGTGGGTTTCCAATTCCCACCCCACAGCCTGTCTGACCCCGCTCATTTTGGGCAGCTCACTTTGACGTGATTGGACCCTCGGAGCCCATCCTGGCCATGGTGGGCGAAGACGCCGAGCTGCCCTGTCACCTGTCCCCAAACATGAATGCGGAGCGCATGGAGCTGCGGTGGTTCCGGAGGAAGGTCTCGCCGGCCGTGTTGGTGCACCGGGAAGGGCGAGAGCAGAAGGAAGAGCAGATGCCTGAGTACGGAGGGAGGGTGACGCTGGCGAAGGACGACATCTCCGTGGGGCGCGCTGCTGTGAGGATACAGGGTGTCAGGGCCTCTGATGACGGCGAGTACCAGTGCCTTTTCAGGGAGAACGGGAGCTACGGCATAGCCCTCCTGCATCTGACGGTGGCTGGTGAGTGACGGGTTTTGACTTTCTCTGGTGATGCCCATGCGGTATACATTTTCGTATGGATCAATTACTTTGAAAACCACCAGATTCATTCTCAAAATCCCTTTTAGGTTGGATGGGGTTGACAGTCCTAGAGTAGTAGAAAGGTAGAAAAGGTGTTGATGTTGAGAGTGGGGAGAGAGCAGCAGAATGTCTTTCAAATAGAACTTTATTTCAATTATCTCTTGCCCTTTCCCCTCAATAATAGGACAAACATTTCCCCTCAATAGTAGGACAAACATTTCTCCATGGAATTAATTAATAAATGTAAGCTGTGAGAGCTACATAACATTCTTTTATACCAGCACACCACAATTTACTTGATCAAGTCCCAGAATTGGGTGTTTAAGTTGTGTCTATTTCTCAGATCAAAATAAGGCTGTGGTGAGCATGCCACACACTCTGAGGCTGCTTTGTGGATTAGTTTCTCAGGATTGATATCCTAAGATTATAGAGATTGGCCGTTTGTTGACATTCTTGATTCATATAGAAAAGATTTTGCTTTTGTTGGGTTTGTTTTTGTTTTTGTTTCAAGCTAAAATTCAGAGGGGAACAATTTTTTAAAAAAGATAAACATTCAGGAGGAAAGAATGTATTGAGGTCTGACTTTCCCACTGACTAGTGAATGACATCAAGCAAATCTCTTTCTGAGGTTTACTGTAAAGCTGGGGAAATATTTATTCAAGATGATTTCTCAACAATGAAATAAAATTAGGCAATATTTGGGAAACCACTTTGCCAATTCTAAAAGCATTATAGACTTGTAAGATATTATTACTGTACTTTAAACTGATCTAAAACATATCATGTACAAAATGTTGCCTTTCATACATATATATTCAAGTAAAGATAAAGTCTGAAAAATACCTGGGTGAAATCTGGATCCCTGTTTTATAACAGGGTGTCTCTGTATCAGCATTTTGTATAACGCACATTTTGTTTTTAGGGAAGAAGTATCTTAAAAGTTGATTTTAAAAACCTAGAGATTTGATGGCACGAACTTGTTGTTACATGGCATGAAACTGTTGTTGTAACCTTTTATGAGTGACAGACACCTTTGAGAATCTGCTGAAAATGTTGGCTCCTTTCATGAAAAGGATATACATTCTCATATATACATACAAACTTGGAATATGGATTTAAACCAATGATTGTGGAAATGTGTTTAAGAACTCTTCTATGTAGCTCAGTGTTTCCCTGTGCCCTGTGGAACTGGAAGAAAAAATTAGGCTAAACAGACAGGAAATGCAGCTTTATGTTGATTTATGTTAGGGCAAAATAGTGTGTAGGAAGATGAGGTTGAAACCATTTAAGAAAATTTCTGGCCTGGCATGGTGGCTCACATCTGTAATCCTAGCACTCTGGGAGACCAAGGCAGGTGGATCATTTGAGCTCAGGCATTTGAGATCAGCCTGAGCAAGAGCGAGACCCTGTCTCGACTAATAGAAAGAAATTAGCTGGACATCCCCCCCCAAAAAAATACATATATATATATAAGCCGGGCATGGTGGCGCATGCCCATAGTCCCAGCTACTCAGGAGGCTGAGGCAGGAGGATCGCTTCAGCCCAAGAGTTTGAGGTTGCTGTGAGCTAGGCTGACACCACGGCACTCTAGCCTGGGCAACAGAGTGAGACTCTGTCTCAAAAAAAAAAAAAAAAAAAAATTTCGGAATCAGCATCACAGGTAAAGGAAATGTAAATTGTTAACTACAATCTGAGGGCCAAGAACTTCTAAACATCTTCTCAAGGATACTCGTTCTCTGTTCATCCTTAAATACCCAGGCCTAGTTCTCTTCCTCCTCCCCAAAGCTTTCTCCTAATACTTCCAATCACACAGCATCTGCCAGCTCTGAGCCCTCAGCCTAGACCACTAACCTGCCTCTGAGCCATTGGTCTTGGTATTCCTGCTAGGTAGCATTCCTCAGTGTTCCTGCCATATCTGTTTAGCAAACTCTTGCCAACATTTGAAAGGCTAGATCCCAATAAAACATCCCTCTCCGATAAGGTACGTGAAATTTGTTTTAGTGATACCTCAGTTTCCTTGTATAATGAAATATGGAGAAGTGGCCTTCCCATTCCCACTCCACCCACTTGTGTGCCTCTCTCTCAATCTGTTTCTCAAGCTACATAGCTCTATAGTTGTAAGGCTCTGAAAAGGGTGTCCACAAATAGATTAAGGCCAACTTTTCCCTCTGTAGCTCTGGGCTCTGACCCTCACATCCATATGGAAGTTCAAGAGAGTGGAGAGATCTCGCTGGAGTGCACCTCAGTGGGATGGTACCCAGAGCCCCAGGTGCAGTGGAGAACTCCCAAGGGAGAGCAGTTTCCATCCACATCAGAGTCCAGGAATCCTGATGAAGAAGGTCTATTCACTGTGGCTTCTTCAGTGATCATCAGAGACACCTCCATGGAGAAATTGTCCTGCTACATCCAGAACCTCCTTCTTGGCCAGGAGAAGGAAGTGGAGATTTCCATACCAGGTCAGTGAAACCAATGCTACATTCTTTTTTTTTTTTTTTTTTTTTTTTTTTTTTGAGACAGAGTCTCGCTCTGTTGCCCAGGCTAGAGTGAGTGCCATGGCATCAGCCTAGTTCACAGCAACCTCAAACTCCTGGGCTCAAGCAATCCTGCTGCCTCAGCCTCCTGAGTAGCTGGGACTACAGGCATATGCCACCATGCCCGGCTGATTTTTTCTATATATATTAGTTGGCCAATTAATTGTCTTGCTCTTGCTCAGGCTGGTTTCAAACTCCTGACCTCGAGCAATCTGCCTGCCTCGGCCTCCCAGAGTGCTAGGATTACAGGCGTGAGCCACCACCCCTGGCCTATGCTACATTCTTATGATGACACAGTTTCAAGGCCACACCACCTGGACACCTGCTCAGAGTGACCTCATGGCAGAGTTGTCTACTTTCCCCATCTAAACTCTTGCCCATGGACTTGAGGAAATCTTACCAACTTCATTAGGGGAGTAAAGATTCTGAAGGCATAAATCTACTTAGATCTCATGTAAATTCCAGATTTTCCATTTTAGGAGATATAACTGAGATATAGAAGCTTTATCCCTAAGGGCCTTTCTGATCAGAACTTTCTCTCCTAGAATAAACAAGACCAAGTTATTTTTCTAATTTCACTATTTCCACTCTTACCCTCCTCTTCCCTCCCCATCTCATGCTAGAGCTCTGTCTAGGTTTCCAGAGTCCTCAAGGAAGCAAATCCTCTCATTATTCCCCAGATACTACTTCTGGGTCCAGTAAGAATCTTTCCTTATTCTTTGGTCAATGAGTCCCATTCTATTACACACAGGTGACATTTCCCCTTCCTTCTTTACCTTCCTCATCCTCTTGGCTCCCGTTCTACATTAATAGTTAAGGAGGAATTTCCATATAACATGAATAAATCCATTGTATTTATTACTTCACAGGTCCTGTCCCAAAATAACTCTTCATTTCTCTCTTTCTCTGCCCTCTCCTCCTCAAGGTCATATATTACCTGAGTAGGTTAGAGTGTTATTGTAATGACTATTTTTTGCCATAAGAAGGATGAGAGTGTTCCAGGCCATCCCCTATTCCTCCTCCTTTGGAATCAGGAGAGAAGCTGGACTTGCTCATAATTTCTCAACTAATGGCCTTCTTGGGGATTTTCTTTTAGATACTTCTGTTTTAACTACTTGCTTACGAAGTATAACTCCCTGGAGAGTGGCTGTGGCTGTCATCCTGACGGCCCTAGGACTTGTCACCATTGGGTTCATATTTTTCACTTGGAGACTATACAAGGAAAGATCCAGAGAGAGGAAGAATGCATTGAGCCCTAAAGGTAAGTCATGGAATCCACAAGGGCTACCTGTCAGGAGTGCTTCAGAGAAGGTCTGTATCCAGGTCCTTTAGGATGATTTCCAACTGAAGATATTTGATTCTAGAATTCTGAAAGTTGGAAGGAATCATAAGCTTCTGAAGTCACAGATACCCAATATGAAGAGGCTTCATACCCAATATGAAGAGTCAAAACCAATTCTAATTGAGATATTAGACCTGATGGTTACTCACTACCCCCCTCAGACCCTACCCCTGATCCTAAGCCAATAGGAACTTCCTGCATATTTCTTAGAAAACAAAACAAAACAAAATCTTTGTTCTGAACTTATTGATAATATTTCAGTAATCAGGTAGTCATAAATTAAAGTTCCTCCTTTAGTGTTTCCCACACCAATTTTGTCCCCTCACTTTTGTCCAGTATAGAAAGCCACTAAGATATTTTTGTTTGTTTTCCAGACAAAGTCCTAGAAGAGCTCAGTAAGTTCTGCCTTCTTGTCATTATTTTACTCACAAAGTTTTTCTCTCTCTTATTGTATAACCTGTCAATGACTATCTTTCTCTTTCACTGCAGAATGGAAAAGGTCTCCATGGCATGCAGGTCAGTGGCTCTGAACTTCTCAAGGGCTCTGAGGTTCTCTCCCCTAAGAATTCAAAATCCTATGTTACTTGGAAATGAAAACTCTAAACACACTTTAGTGATGAGGATAGGAAGGAATAAGGTGATGGCAAATGGCCTCAACACTTTCCTTGAGGCACATAGAGGGCCCTTGGAAGATGACTAGGAGACAAACTCTCTCTGACAGGGTCCCATTAGGCACTGGGGACAGTCACCCTCTGGCTGCTGGTGAGGGAAGGAGCCTGAGAGTATAGAGTCAAACAGCTTTCCCTCTGAGGAGACCTGTCAACTCCTAGAACAGTGTTCTATTTCTTTGAGAAGGAAAAACAGGTCTTGTAATCTCTGACTTTCACTGATGCTCAGACTTGCTCTCTCTCTGTCTCCAGCGGATATGATCCTGGATCCAGACACAGCCCATCCTCACCTCTTTCTTTATGAGGATTTAAGATCTGTTCGACTGGAAGATTCACGTCGCATACTACCTGAGAGACCAGAGAGATTTGACTCCTGGCCCTGTGTGTTAGGCTGTAAGGCCTTTACCTCAGGGAGACATCACTGGGAGGTGGAGGTGGGAGACAGGACTGACTGGGCAATCGGTGTGTGTAGGGAAAATGTGCGAAGGAAAGGATTTGACCCCATAATTCCTGAGAATGGGTTCTGGGCCTTGGAGTTGTATGGAAATGGGTACTGGGCACTCACCCCTCTCCGGACCCCTCTCCTATTGTCAAGTCCCCTCCACCGGGTTGGAATTTTCCTGGACTATGAATTAGGAAACATCTCCTTCTACAACATGACTAATGGACATCATATATATACATTCTCTGAAAACAGATTCTCTGGCCCCCTCCGTCCCCTCTTTTGCCTTTGGTCCTCTGGTGAAAAGCCCCTGATCATCTGCCCACTTGCTGATGGGCCTGAGAGTGTCACAGTCATTGCTAATGCCCAGGACCTTTCTAAGGAGATCCCCTTGTCCCCCATGGGGGAGGACTCTGCCTCTGAGGTTACAGACACTTTCCATTCTAAGCTAATCCCCACCCAACCCAGCCAAGGGGCGCCTTAAGGAATATCCCAGCTCAGTTGTTTTCCTTTGTTCTAATCTCTCTCCTCCATTGTGAGCCTTCACCTGCCAGCTTCAGCCAGCCCCTATTTCTTCCTGTTGGGTAGAGATTAATTAATCTTGTGAAGGTTGTATTCCTTCTGCTCGAGAGGGTGGGGAGTAGGACCTTCCTAATTTGTTTCTGTATAAATATTTTGGGGATGGAGAAGTGATTATTAAACTGCTTCTACTGATCCCCTATTCCTTAAGGCCAGAACCTATAGGGAAGGGCTTGGAGCAAACTGAAAGGATAGCTTAGGGATTGAGGTGGGGGTTGGAGTGTCATGGGGTTGTGGCAGAAATGTTTGGGTATCCAAAATAGGGGTATGTGGAGGAACAGGTTTGAGGTGAGCAGAAAACCCAAAGGGTGCTGGGAAAGGACAATCTTAGAACAAAACCCCATAAAGGAATTTGGAGGAAACATGATGATGGAGGAAAGTGAGGTGAACTTAGGCCCATGATGAATACCTGGCTTACCCCTAGAGTTTTTAGGGCCTGTATCTCAAAATTTCCAAGCCATATCATATAGGATAGAGGAGACTAGCCCTAATTCTGTGGGAACTGAGCTGTGGGCAAGGGGGAGCAGAGAGAAGCTAAGATGAGCAGGGCTGGAGGCTGCAACATGTGAGATAGAGGAGAGAATTTTGGACAACACTCAAAAGTTGTCTGCACAGCCATGACTTAAGGCAGCAGTCCCCAACCTTTTTGCCACCAGGGACTGGTTTCATGGAAGATGATTTTTCCATGGGATCAGGGCAGGGGTGTGGGTGAGTGGCAGGGAGGGGTGGTTTCGGGATGATTCAAGCACACTATATTTATTGTGTAGTCAAACCTTTCTGCTAATGATAATCTGTATTTCCAGCTGCTCCCCAGCACTAGCATCAGCCCCATCTCAGATCATCAGGCATTAGATTCTTATAAGGAGTGTGCAAACTACATCCCTTGAATGCACGATTTATAGTAGGGTTCATGCTCCTATGAGAATCTAATCCCCCTGCTGATCTGACAAGAGGTGGAGTTTATGAGATGAGGTGGAGTTTATGAAATGATGTGAGCGATGGGGAGTGGCTGTAAATACAAATGAAGCTTTGTTTTCTGGCCACTCACCTCCTGCTGTGAAGCTTGGTTCCTAACAGGCTATGGACCATGCTGGGGACTGAAACCTTAAGCCCTGTTCCTCTCTCTGTACCCTCCTGTTTCTCTTTTGCCTGGAAGTCATTCCAACCTTATTTTGTTGAGTCCACATTTCCAGTTCTCCTCTTCCTTTAGATCTAGTATCTCTCCATTTCAAAGACATTCCCGGAAGCATGCAGTGATGTCACTACTTTATCAGCCACTGTCTCAGCCTCATGCCTCTCAGCCCTCATCCCAACATCCAAATCCCTCAAATATGCTTTCAGTTAGCTTCAACTGCCATCCATTTCTATACTGTGCCACTGTTCCCTATTTCCCCACCCAGCTTCACAACATGCTGCTTCTCCTCAGGGTCCCCTGAGTGTTGAGCTACTGTGCTCAGCATAGCTGGACTGATTACACCTGTTTGTATTTGCCCCTGGGCATTTTCCTGTATACATGTGGCTTGTCTTGCCAATGGACTGCAAATGTATCCAGGCTCGCACCTTCCATTTTCATTGTATTTTTCCAGCTTCCAGTATAGACGTTACCCATGGTCTTTACCTAATAAATCTGATTGCTGAAAGAACCCCCCCTTTTTTTTTCAGTCCCCAAAAGTGGAACTGAACAAAACAGAGGAAAAAACCTGACTGGGAATGTAGCTGGTCAAAGCTTTTGTCTAAGACCCATCCCAAGGCCTGATGGCAATGTGTTTACCAGGGCAGGTGGACATAGGGGGTTGTTGCCCAAATTAGTACCCAACTACTTACCCAAAGGCCACAGTGCAATGGCTACCCTCAGCCCGTTTGGGTGGTGACTTTATCTCTACTACTATAAAGGTTACTGGCTCACAGTGTAGGTAAGTGAAGTTACCTATTCAAATTAATAATACTTTCCCAGAGAAGAAAATATTTGGAAATTTTTAATGGTAGTGCCTTGTAATTGGGGGGAAAAATTCATAGGTGATCTTTGGAAACCAATATGCCTGAGGAGAGACTCTGTATTTCTGCTTGAGGACCCTGGTAGTTCAATGAGCCCACTTTATCCTCTGTTGCCCCAAAGGAGGATTAGAAATAGTCCCCCTCTGTGAGGGGGGTTGATAGGTCTGTTATCATCACATGCACTATACTTTAAGCAAAATGTAACAACAATATAGTTCATTATCCACATTTTGTCATTGTTATTCCCAGGATATACAAATGTATATCCCATATTCGTTTTGTTTTCATTATGGTTTTGGTGTTTTCCTATTAACTTGGGGTTCATTTCCTAGGTAATAATATCTATATAATCACATTTCCATTGATGTATTACTAGATTACTTAAAAATGAATCTGTATACAGGCTTATAAATCAGAAGACTACAGAAGTTTTACTCTGGAAAGGGGCTAAGAGAAAAATGTAACTGGACTTTAGTATGAGAAGTAACTGTTAACATTTACTCCAAACCCCTTCTTTCAGATATGAGGAAAATAAAGAGAAAAGAGAAATGAAGTGATTTGGTTAAAGGCACATAGTACGTGGCCAAGTCAGTATCCAAAGGCAGGTGTCCTTGCTATAGCTGTCCGAGACATCTTCCACTGAGCCAATGGCAGTTGGGTAGGAGGACAAACTAAGTTAATCTAGACTCTAGAGGTTGGCATGCCAGAAAACTTTTTAGAGATATTACTAAGGTGGAACCTACTGGCTCAGGAGATTCTTAGGCACAGGAAGAAGAAAAATACAACTTAGCATGCTACCTTCTACTGGATCGAGGAACTGCACCTGGAGAACAAACAGAAGGGCTCCTTCCTCCATCATTTCATGGATCCCCAGCACCCAATGGCCCCCCTCCCCTTGCCCCGTCCTCAAACACTATCCTGCCCACACATTTACCCGACACTATACTCCTGAGTGCAGAGTATCATTTATCCCTACTTTAAAAGTATTCATTTGTTAGAAATGTGATCAGTGTAACTTAAAAAAAAAAAGTATTCATTTGTATTCCAATTATACTTTTAGAAAGTCAAAGAAAAACATAGTCCAATCTTCTTAAAAAATATATTTAGGGAGCTTTCAGATAGTTGACTGCATGGAGGTTGTTGGAGGGTGGCATGTCCAAAGAGAGGGCATGGAAGCTTCCCACACGCCTTGCCCTAGGCATCTCTTCCAGCTGGCTGTTCACCTGTACCCTTTGTAATATCCCTTATAATAAACCAGTCAACAAACGTTGACTGCAAGACAGGTTTGAGAGAATCAAGGGTAAAGTCCGCTAAAGGAAGGAGGAGACTGAGTAGCATCAGCCCCTGGGTTAAAAGGGATGTTTGCATGAATCTTTGATCCCAAGAAGAGGCAAGAGGAGGAGACTGGCAAAGGAGCTAAGAGAAATCACTCTTTATTCATTTATAATATGATGCATTATGAAAATAAATACCACTCTAACACTTTCAGGACACATTGCATTCTCCCTGCACTTATTTTTTGTATTATTTGTTTTTTATAAGTTCTGTCATCCTACCTTAGTTTTTTTTCTTTTTTTTAACATTTATACTTTCATTTATTCAAGCTGAATAATGCATAGCCTCAATAAACCCATACTTTCAAATATTAAAAAGTAGAAAAAATGAGAATCTTTTCCACAGAGCCTTTTTGTCTTTGAAAACTGCCAGCTTGGCAGTAAGGTGTTCTTGTGAGGCTCCAACCCTCAAGACAACTTAGGGATACTCCTGCCGTCTCGGTCACTCCCAGCAACATTGAGATTCCCTCACTACATGTCCCCATCCATTGAGGGGTCCCCACTCATTCTGCCGTGCTCCCTTCAAATAAGAGGTCCTATCACTATAGCACTAGCCCATTTATCAGGCCCAGAGTCCTGGAAAAGCCTCGGTCCCGCGCACTCCTCAAACCTGACGTCCTAGGATCCCGGATCGCCTTGCTCCCCTCGCCCAGCTATCGATGCCTCAGCCGGTTCCCGTTCCGTAGTCCCGCTGGCCTGGTTCCCGCGCAGTCCCAGTCAGGCAACGCGACACCAACCCTACTTTGCCGGCTCCCTTATTTTTTTCAAATCCATTATCTACCTCTGCAATATTAAAATCCTCCAAAGCATTGTTTGTTTTAGGGGCAAGAAGGTAGTGGGGGAAACTGTGAGTCTGCATGGCATCCTAGTGTGGGCCACAGAGAAGAGGAAACTCAAGTTGAAGAATGGATGATGGCAGCCACGAAAGGGAAGTAGGCTTGTTTCTGGAGCTGATGGGGGGGGGCGGTTCAAATGAGAATTCACTTCGGATTAGCATTACATCCAAGTGTGTGTTTAGATACAAGCCTTTACCTCAACACTTTCCTCACCCTCATCCTGAACAGATCTCACACCAAAGTAAAAAACAAAACAAACAAACAAACAAAAGAAACCATTCACATTCATACTATTAAAAGTGATAATAATAAGTATTTAGGAATCTTAGACAGTTGTTTTACTCTTTTAATGTGTAATATGTATTCTAAAATGTATCTGTAAAACCTAATCCAGAATAAACAGGGCTGCCACGGGAATCTCTCTCTGAGAACAGAGAAAAAAATGGTCACAGATTTTAATCAGATCTGTGACTCCCTTTCCCTTCCCTTTTCCCCATGATCTTAAAGGAAACTGGTCATCAAGCTCTTAGGAAACACCATGTCCTTACTTTTTTCACTAAGCTCCAGCCAGACACACCCCTTCAGAAGAATTTATCTGATGTAGCTAAGAACCTGCTTGTGGTTTCCTGTCCAGCTGGCATCAGCTATCAGAAACGTGTCCCAGAGGTGAGAAAGCTATCAGTCTCAGTAGTTCTGGCTTTATTTCCAAATCTTCTAAAAAACAAGAATTTATCAATGCCAGCCAATAATGTTTTACCAAAGCCTGTCTTAGTCAAGTGAGGCAGAGTCAGTGATACTAGTATTTCAAAAGCACCAGAACTAACTGAAGTATTTGCTAATGTCTGACTTTCCTTTTAAACCAGAAACAAAAACCTTTCTACCAAGCAACTAAAAATCAGACGAAAAATGCAAATGCTCTATAATAATAATAGCGGACTTCATTTCACACTGCCAAATGCCAACTGTGGTAGTCACATGTTTACTGGTGCCTGCCTCTATTCAACAGACTCTGTGACAGCCAGACATTCAGACTTAGAGAAAAATAATTGAACAACTTCCTTCTTCTCTAATCAACAGCAGCTTTTTCATGCCATCTCTTAGCACATCTCAATTCGCATCTCATGTGCCCCCAGATAGTACTCATATCTCCTCAAATCTCCCACTTGCAAGAGTACCTGACAGCCCACTCCCAATTATATTTACATTTATTCTTATCTCTCATTTTATTATTTTAAAATGGAAATAACTTATTTTCCTGAAATACATGAAAGTTTATTTTTAAAAATAAAAATAGTCCAAAATCTCATCACTCAACATTTGGGTTCATTCTCTCCTTAAAAAAAAGAATCTATCATCTATTTCAATGGATTTAAACTAATTGCTCTTTGGAGAGTAGGTTTCACAGCAGTTTAAACTCCTTATGGTACAAATATGGTAGCTGTGATGGTCATAAAAAGAGATTTAAGCCTATATGAACTAATGGAAGATGGAGAAATATGCATATTGAGAGTA